CTCACTCTGTTGTCCAGGCCAGAGTGCTGTGGGGTGACCTTGGCTCATTGCAGCTTCAGCCTCCCAGGTTCAACTGATTCTCGTCTCTAAGCCTACCGAGTAGCTGGGATTATAGGTGCTCACCACTACATGCAGCTTTTTTATCTTTAGTAGAGATAGGGTTTCACCATGTTGGCCAGGCTGGTCTTGGACTCCTGACCTTAGGTGATCTGCCTGCTGCAGCCTCCCAAAGTTCTGGGATTATAGGTGTGAGCCACTGCACCCAGCCTGACTTTCTGTTTTAGCTATTGAAGAAGTCCTTTGTCAATCCAGTTATTACTCTGTAGATAATCTGTTTTTCCCTCTGGTTGCTTTTAAGATGTTCACTTTATCTTTGGAGTTCTGTAATTTCCCTATGATGTATCTTTGTATGGATTTATTTTCATTTCCTTCTGGAGATTCACTATGCTTCTTCAGTTTAGAAAGTGTGCAGTCATTATCAACTCAAACACTGTTTCTTCCCCATTCTCTCTTTTGTCTCTTGGAAATTTTGCCAGATATCTACTAGGCCTTATCTTTCTACTCTCCATGCCTCTTCAGCTGTCTTCCATATTTACCACTGCTTTCTCCCTCTGTGATACATTCTGGGAAATCTCCTTACTTATCTTCTGGTGAATTAAAGAATCTCTTCATCTTCTGTTCAACTATATGCTCAGCTTATCCACTGAGTTTTTTATTTCAGTGACTAAAATTTTAATTTCAATGACTATATTTTTTATTTCCAGAAGTTTTTTCCCCCCAAATCTCCCTGTTCCTTTTTCATGGTGTCCCACTGTTTTCAATATTGTTTCTACTTTTTTATCTCTAGCTTTCTTTATTTGGAGCAAAGGCACATCCACATCAACCCTGTGTAGATGTCTGAAGTGCTTTAGTAATATCTTAAATAGTAATATGTGAAATTAGAAGACAGATTTAGTGAATAAATTGGGGGACAGATTATACAGGAAGCTTTGAGTCAGGGAGAGTAGCTGAGGGGTTATTTCAGTGGTTCAGGTAAGAGAAGGTGAGGACTGGACTGAGTCAGTAGCAGAGGAAGTAGAGAGGATATTTGAGACAGAATTTGGGAGGCAGAAGCTAGAGGACTTTGTGAGCAATTAAATCTGAAAGGAATAAAGGAGAACAGTGATTCTGAGGGTTGTAGCTTGGGCAGCTGCAAGGATGATGGTGGCATTGACACAGAAGGGACACAGATGAGGAAGAACAAACCTGTCTGGGGGTTCCATCATGAAGCTGGGTTTGCACACAGTGAATGGGCATTCAGGTGGAATGCCCAGTGGATAGGCAGACTTAAATGATCTAGTACTTGGCAAAGAAATCTGGGCTGTACCTATCTATCTTAGAGCATATATATTTTGATAGTATCAGAAGCTGGAGAAGGGCCTTGATGAAGCGAGATTGTCCAGGGAGAATATGGAGAGTGAAAAGGAACAGAGAAAAGGGTGGAGCCTGTGGAACATCAGCATCTAGGGTGCATATCTTTGGCAAAGGTCTGGAAAGCTCTGCTGAAAGGAGGAAATTCTAAGGATGGCTGAAAATATTTGGTTGGCAAGGAAGGAGGAAAACCAGGAAGAAGTAATATTGCCAAAACCAAGAAAAATTTTAAACAAGAAGGGTATGGTCAATAATGGCTATGAACTAGAGCCCGAAACGTTGGACTTGGCTGTTGTGAAGACATTGATTGTCTTGTAGAATCATTTCCTGGGGATGAGGTGGGGCAGAAGATCGAGTGTAGTGAGTCAGGAGTGCATGAAGCAGGAGGAAGTAAAGCTAAGTAGACAGCTCTTTCTAGAACTTTGGCTACGCAAAGAAAAAGATGGCTTGATAGCTAAAGGTTAGAGGTGTGGGAAGTGTGGTGGGACTCAAGGCTGAGGACGGGCTTTTGTTTGCTTTAAGACAAAAAAGGCACATTTGCAGGCCAAGGGTGAAACATTCAAGAGGAAGAGAGCTGTCAGCTCTTGGATCATCTTGGCTTTGCCCTTTCCAGAATCGCCTTTGGATCAGACAGACTTTGGTCTGCTTCCAGCGAAGCTCTTTCCTCCCTGAAGATGTACTTTCTCTAAGACTCCTGCTCCAAATTGTCCTAAATACAAAAGATAGGATCTGTTAGAGTCTTGTATTGTAATTCAATCCCTAAATATGCAACCAGAAAATTATAAGAAGAACTTTTCCTGAAGGAATTTCGAAGACTACTGTTAAGGAGTTTACTTCCAATGGAAACAAACCTTCTGGTTTCAGAAAATCTTGATTATGCTATGTGAGGTTGATCAGGAAAGATTTTGTGTGATTCTGGAAGAAGCTGGAACAGTTTTGGTGTTTTGAGGTGGTAGCTACTTGAATCCTAGCAGTTGAAAGATCAGTAATACATCTTTCTATAAAGCTCTATCTTCTAGCCTCATGAATGAGGCTTTAAAAATATTAAATTAGGCCAGGAGTGGTGACTTATGCCTGTAATCTCAGGACTTTGAGAGGCCGAGGCAGACTGATCACTTGAGGTCAGGAGTTTGAGACCAGCCTGGCCAACACAGTGAAACTCCATCTCTACTAAAAAATAAAAATTAGGCATGGTAGCAGGTGCCTGTAATCCCAGCTACTCAGGAGTGTGAGGCAGGAGAATGACTTAAATCTAGGAGGTGGAGGTTGCAGTGAGCCAAGATTGTGCCATTGCATTCCAGCCTGGGGAACAGAGCAAGACACTGTCTCAAAAGAATAAAAATAATGAATAAATAAAATAAGAATATTAAATTATCCAGCATTAAATGATGTAAAATGGATTGAGATGAGTCCCATCTCCCCTTCACTAGGCTTACAAGTGGATGTTTTACCATCCCAGATATACAAATGCAAGAGAGAATAGCAGAGCAGCAGTTAGGTTTGCTCTCCAGCCACACTAAGCTTTATTAGTGGATTGAGTATTATGAGAACATCTTTCTGTTTAGGTTTGTTTGGGAAAATGTGGCTTTAAAATTATAGATAATATAGTATCTACTACCTAGTTCTTGGTAACTGTACTCATTTATAGGCATGGCAGACTAGAGTATAGATGAAAGAGGGAAGAGAATTTCTTGAGTCTGATTTTAAAAGAAAATGTACTTGTAGCTTTCCAGACTTTTGCCAAAGATATGCACCCTAGATGCTGATGTTCCACAGGCTCCACCTTTTTCTCTGTTCTTTTTCACTCTCCATATTCTCCCTGGACAATCTTGCTTCATTAAGGCCCTTCTCCAGCTTCTGATACTATCAAAATATATATACTGTTAACTCTAAGATAGATAGGTACAGCCCAGATTTCTTTGCCAAGTACTAGATCATTTAAGTCTGCCTATCCACTGGGCATTCCACCTGAAGGCCCATTCACTGTGTCCAAATCCAGCTTCATGATAGAACCCCCAGACAGGTTTGTTCTTCCTCATCTGTGTCTCTTCTCCGTCAATGGCACCACCATCCTTCCAACTGCCCAAGATACAAGAAAATTGCATGATGTAATCTTAGGAGGCAGATTTACATGTAGCCATTTCCGGAGTAAATAAATATTTTCTTATAAAGAAATCATTAAATGTGCAACAGGTTTTTTCTTTTTACCTCCAGAAGTTAAACAAAGTGGTAGCATGAAATAGTGTCTGCTTTAAATTTCTTTAAAGTTCTTTTGTAAATATTAATATCCACAGGGAGATAACTGTTAAAAAGTTTACCTCAGGGACTGAGACATGCAAGGGGGGAGAAATTTCTCAACAAAATGCCTCAGAAAATAAACTTTCTGACCTGAAGGGAATTGACCCCAAAAAGCCCATGGGAACTAAAGTGACTGTTTACTTACGTTTATGATATTTAAGCAAGTGTTACACTGAGCAGTGGTTGTGTTGAAGGTTGTCATGTATTTATTCTCAGTTTGTATGTAATATTACACTTGTTCTGGCTAAGATTATACAAACAAACAGCCTCTTAGTGAAAAGCTTTCCTGATGCTTTGAATTGGTTGAATCATCAGGGCTACTCTCGCTAGCTACGAAACCTCATTAGTTGAGAAGCTATCTCTGGAGGAAGTCTCAGTAGCTAAATGTATTCTATGTTCAATAAGAGTTCCATTCAGTTGCTTGTTTTTTTCATATTCAAAGTGCCTTACAACAAATAAATTTGTACCCAAATGCTATATTGCTGGAACTCTTTCCTTCAGGAGGCATGATGTAAAGAAGGAAATTGAGATATTTTGTAAACTATCAAAGGGAAGTAAAACATTAACAGTAGATTAAAGCCTATTTTTTTTTTTTTGCTTTGTAGGAATTTATCTGAGAACAAGTGGAGGTAAGCTTTTCTCTTATTTGAGGTTTCATGCAGAAGTGCCACACATAAAAGGCTTCATTGCCCCATTTCTTTTTCCTATTAATGTGTTTATGTGTTAGCTACTCCAGACCACAGGAGGCATCCAAGAGATACTGCCACTGACTGTCCAGAAGGTGTTGGCATCCCAGGCCTGCCATGGTAAGCCCTTTAATATAGCAGTGATCGAGCACCTCTACATGCAGAGCCCTGGCAGGGATGCCGGGATTACAAAAGAAGCAGAAGGCACATTTCCCACTTGACTGAGAATACAGTTTAGATCAAGAAACTGAATATACATTTAAAAATCACTTTTACAAAAACAAAATCCCAGCACACAAATTTTACTATAATGCTTCCTGACCTATATAAATGGAGGAATTACTTCTAAAGAAGATGCATTTTGAGTTGAGTTTTGAATGAGCTGAGGAACATGGATTCACATCATGGAAGGGGGAATTCACTGCAGGGGGAGGAACCAGCCTGTGCAGAGATGCAGAACAGCAATGAGTTGTTTATATGAGAAGCAGCAAAGAGTATCAAGAAACTAGGCAGGTAAGAAAGAACAGAAGCCAAGAAGGTCACAGCAAAACTTTTGGATTTGATACAGACGGCATTAGAATTAGCAAGCGTTTTTTTTTTTTTTTTTTTTTTTTTTTTGTTCTTTCCAACTTTTATTTTAGGTTCGGGGGTACACATGCACTTTGTTGTGTGGGTGAATTGCATGTCAAAGGAGTTCGTTGTACAGATTATTTTGTTATTCAGGTAATGAGCATAGTACCCAATTGGTAGTTTTTCCATCCTTATCCTCCTCCCATCCTCCACCCTCAAGTAGGCCAGATGTCTAATATCTGTTCTTTGTGTCCAATATGTACTCAGTGTTTAGCTTCCACTTGTAAGTAAGAACACAGAGTATTTGGTTTTATTATTCACTTAGGATCATGGCCTCCAGCTCTGTCTATGTTTTTGCAAAGGACATAATCTCATTCTTTTTTATGGCTATATAGTACTACATGTTGTATATGTACCACATTTTCTTTATCCAGTCCTCCATTGATGGGCATTTCGGTTGATTCTATGTCTTTGCTATTGTAAATACTTCTTCAGTGAGTATAACACATACACATGTCTTTATGATAGAATGATTTCTATTTCTTTGGGCATATTCCCAGTAATGGGATTGCTGGGTTGAATGACAGTTTGTTTTAAGCTCTTTAAGAAATCTCTAAACTGTTTCCACAGTGACTGAACTGATTTATATTTCTCACCAACAGTGTATAAGTGTTCCATTTTCTCTGCAGCCTCACCAGTATCTGTTATTTTTTTACTTTTTAACAGTAGCCATTCTAACTGGTATGAGATGGTATCTTGCTCTGATTTTGATTTGCATTTCTCTGATGATTAGTGATGTTGAGAATTTTTCATAGGCTTGTTGGCCATGTGTATGTCTTCTTTTGAGAAGTGTGTGTTTATGTCCTTTGCCTATTTTTTTAAATAGGGTTTTTTGGGTTTTGCTTGTTGACTTATTTAAGTTCTTATAGATTCTGGATATTAGACTTCTGTTGGATGCAGTTTGCAAATATTTTCTCCTATTCTATAAGTTGTCCCTTTATGCTGTTGATAGTTTATTTTGCTGTGGAGAAGCTCTTTACTTTAATTCTCAGTTGTCAATTTTCGTTTTTGTTGCAATTGCTTTTACAGTCTTTCTCATGAAATCTTTGCCAAGACCTATGTCCAGAATGGTATTTCTGAGGTTTTCTTCTAGGGTTTTTATAAAAAGATGAAATGCTTCAGGAATTTGCATGTCATCCTTGTTCAGAAACCATACTAATTCTTCTCTGTATCATTCCAATTCTATTATATGTGCTGCCAAAGCAAACACCATTGAGGATTCTTGAGCAGGGTAACATGATACAATATAGAAAATGGGGATTTGGGTGTGTGGTACACACCTATAATCCCAGCTATTCAGGAGGCTGAGGCAGGAGGGTCTAGGAGTTTGAGACCAGCTAGGGCAACACAGTGAGACTTTGTCTCACAAATGAGTGAATGAATGAATAAAAGAATCAAAAAAGTGGTATTAGAGGAATATACTTCAGGGATTGTGACAGTTACAGAATCTCCTGCAACTATCATTGTGGTCAGCACAATGGGGTCTTCAACCCAATGATCACCTCCCCATTTTATCCTTCTCCATCAGCCTTCTTCTCGCTTCACTTCCTGTCTTTCCCAGCTTTATAACCACACTCCATTATTAGTCTGTCTCCTGCAAAAATCCTGAAGTCCTTTCCCCTTCATCCTATCATTACTCCTTACAATATACTCGAACATAGCTTGACTCTGTCCCCACCAAAAATCTCATTTTGAATTATAATTCTCATAATCCTCATGTGTCAAGGGTGGGACTAGGTGGAGGTGACTGGATCATGGGGGCAGTTTTCCCCATGCTGTTCTCATGATAGTGAGTGAGTCTCATGAGAGCTGATGGTTTTATAAGTGTCTGGCACATGCTGCTCTGTGAGGAAGGTGACTGCTTCTCCTTTGCCTTCTGCCATGACTGCAAGTTTTCTGAGGCCTCCTCAGCCATGTGGAACTATGAGTCATTTAAACGGTCTTTCTGAGCTGGGATCTAGCAGCCGTCTCCATGGAGTCACCGATTCCCAGGGGACTGAGCCCAGCCAGTTTGGCCATGGCAGCCGCCATTACTGTGGCGAATCTGGCCCCTATGCTCCCTGCCCATCACTGAGCAGCATTAAGCAGCCACCCACCTTTCCTCCAGTTCATGCCACTGAGGCCCATGCTCCGTGCAAGTTTCTGCTGCTGAAGCAGGAGGACGGATGTGAGGAGTCAGGCATCCCCGGCCCTCTGACCCACGATGTGGGGGTACTTTCTGGCCCTGGAGGCCTGTGGCTGAGACAGCCCCGGCCAAGCCCTCAGCTTCCCTGCCGGCCCAGATTATTCAGCATGGCTCCCTGGTAATTCATCACTGTGGCAGGCCACAACTGTTCCATTTAACCATCGAAGTAACCATATCAGGAGACACAGTGTAGCTTCTGACAGTGGAGACACTGGCATTGGAACTTCCTGTTCTGATAGTGTGAAAGATCTTTCAACTTCAAGTGGCACATTATCTTTTAGGCCCAGTCAATCACTGGTTACTCTTCCTACTGCCCATGTGATGCCATCTAATTCCAGAGCTTCAATTTCCAAACTTAGGAAATCATTGATACCAGATGGCTCAAAATGGAGTACAAGCCTTATGCAAAAATTGGGAAAGCACAGTAGGGAGAGCATGACTTTAACTAGACATGAAGGACTTCTGGCCACTTCAGAAATGGTCATCTTTTCTGAACTCACTTCCCTGGATAACTGTGGGCAGGATAGCACGTTTCACAGACAAGAATCAAGGAATGGTTTGGAAAAGACAGGGAGGGGTAAGGCTTTAATATCACAACTGAGGACAGTCGGGCCTAGCTGTTTACATGATAGTATGGAGATGCTCAAGTTAGACAAGGATATAAATTTAAAAAGGTCATCAACTTTAGACTGCAAATATAAATTTGAGAGTTGTAGCAAGGAAAACTTCAGAGCCTCTTCCTCTACTCTGAGGGGACAGACTGTAGACATGACATATAGTGCCTTACCTGAAAGCAAGCTCATTATGACAAGTTCAGAGGCCTTTGAACCTCCAAAATAGTTAATGCTTGGTCAACAATCAGTAGGTGGAGTTCCCATTCAGCCTTCTGTAAGGACTCAGTTGTGGCTTACAGAGCAGCTGCGGACAAATCCTTTGGAAGGTAGAACTGCAGAAGATTCTTACAGTTTAGCTCCTTGGCAACAGCAGCAAATTGAAGAGTTTTAGCAAGGAAGGGAACACCAATGAAGGTAAGGCTCAAAATCTAGTGTTTGCTTCCCTCCAGTGGATGTTATGAGTACAATAGCACACTTGCAGTAAGCATATGACAAGTGTCCACAGATAGTTTTGCTTTTCCCGGCACATTAATAAGCAGAAATGTTACCTGAAAAATGTTGTGTTGATAAACAAAACTTACACAGTGTTTGAGACTAATTAACATGAAAATCTTGAAACCTTGTGCTTAACTTGTTCTTTCCTTTTCATTTGTTAAATGGGCATGAAAATAAAGCAAAACATACTCAATCTAAAGAAACTTGGAAACAGAAACAAAAAAGCTATAATAGGTTTAATAGAAAGGGTGCATCAACTTGGCCATATAAGGTCTTAGATTTTGTTTTTGGTTCCATTTAGAACCTGGATGATTTTTGTCACTTAATTTCTCTAGGCCTCAGTTTCTTCATCTGTACTGTGAGAAGGTAGAACTACAGTCATTTGTGAAGTTTTGGTGATTGATAATGTATTTAGGTTTGTAAATCAGATATACTTATTTTTATAAATTATGTGTCAAGACTTATTCATTAATCAGTTTTATAGAAAGAACTGTATGATGATATCCTATATAAAGAAAAATAGTATACAGCCTTAATTGGTCTAGGGAATAGCATGTAAATGTGTAAATTTCTTAATCTGGGAGTGTTTCTATTTCAAGATAATTTCCTGTAGCTTGTTTTAACTAGGAAACTAATTTTCTGATAGAAATACTGTTATGTCATCTTTTTTTAATCAGAATTTTCTCAAACAATTCTATTAAAAATTTCAAATTTTCCCTAGAGTAAAAAATGTAAAATTGCTATTCATTACTACTACTAATAAAAATAAATAGAGTAAATGAACATAGTCTATGAAAGGATAGGGAAATCATTTATCCAGGAACCTCACAAATCTGAGTATGATTCCAAAACATAGAACCTAACATGCTACATTCATAAGAGAACACTTAACATGTTGCATGTGCCTTCTTTATTCTTATTTTAGACCCAGTTCTTATAATTTTGATTGTGTACTTAAACCACATAATCAAAACAGAAGAATCACTTATGATCAAATTACAAATTTGTGATTTATCCATTCAAGTGATTAAAAGTAGGAAACCTAATTTTTCAAATACTATCACTTTTTAGTTTTCAAATGTTTGTTATTACAGGAAAACTGAGATCAGGCAGTTGTTTCTCCAGCTGGTATCTTTGCCTAGAATTAGAGCTACCCAGTGGGTCTGAGTGTACTATTCCAAACTAGAGTAGGTGTGATAGATAACTGAGAAAATTGGGCATGCCTTTTTTTCTGCTTGGACAAATTTCTGCTTTAAACAAGGTGTTTTTCTTAACCTTAAAGCAGTGCAGAAGAGGGTATGGAGGTTGCGGACACACTGTAGAGAAAAATTTGTTTTTAAATCTTCTTCCTGGTACATAGTAGAGAGAGAAGGCTACTAACAAGTGAAATTTATGTATCCCTGGAAAGTCGTACTTGTTGATTAACTTTATAGTGCTTTTAAAAGTTTTGGAGTAGAAAGATGAATTCAGGTAAAGAAAACTAGACAAACTTAAGTTGTAATGATTAAATGACTGCTTTCCTTCTAATTTCCTCCTTGGAAAACTACAGAAAAAAGTTGTTAAATACCTTCTTGGAGCCTCCAGTAATATTCTCTTTATTTTAAAAGGTTTCATCATACTTGTTTCTTAAAAGCCTCTTTGAAACATTGACTTCCATCCAGGCACTATAACTCATGCCTGTAATCCCAGCACTTTGGGAGGCCAAGGCAGGAGGATCGCCTGAGTCCAGGAGTTTGAGACCAGCCTGGGCAACATGGTGAGACCCCGTCTCTGAAAAGGAAAAAAGATAAAAACCTTAGAAACACTGATTTATATAAAAACAAAAATTAGATGTAAAAACACTCTTTACATCTAATTTTTACGTAAAGAGAAGGACCTTAATAAGGATCAGCTCATCTGATAAATTGTGATTTTCAAGCACAGCTTTTAAACACTCACCATGAAAAAAACAGTATTTTTACAATTAAGAAAAGGAATTTGGCTGAAAGTCATGATCTAATAAAATCATAGATTTATGTATTATGGAATTCTGTAGCGTTCACAGTGTTTTATCTCATTTGATCCTCACAGCTCCCCACTCCCCAGGTTAATTAGTAACATTAAAGGTTTGCTCTTCTTAGGACTCAGTCCAGAATAACTATTGAGCCAGCCACACAGTCTTATGTGTGTGTTATTTTTTGATTTCCATGGTTTTCTGCTAAATTATCAAGAGTGCAGGAGTGTAGTACTCTGAAGCATTTCCCTTTGTGAATGAAGAGAAGCCATTATACCCTCAGATGGTTTGATAGAGGGCTTCATATATAATGCCCACTGCTAGTCTTTGACCCTTTCCTCTGTAATACATCACACTTCTGCTCCCCATCCCCTGCAGTTCTTAAGCTATCTGACTCTATAAGGACTGGGACAGAGGAGGAAAAAAGTCTGGTGTTCTCTTTTGGAAGAACCCTTCCCTTTCCATGGCCCCATTGGGTTTTTTTTCTTGGGGAAGGTAGGGTGGAAGGGGTGGAGGATAAACACTCCTACACGTAACGGCAGTATCCATTGGATTCCTTTAAGCCCACGATGGATCTCCCAGCAGTAGCGAAATAATAGTCTCTTTGTTGACAAAGTTGTTTATCCTTTTTTCCCTAAGATGTTTGTGAACTTCAGGGGGCAATCATTAAAAAGATCAAGTTTTGTGCCTAGTTAGTCATAAGGGAGTTTGAACAGTTATGGTATTGGCACCCATTGATTTTAACATATTTTACTGGAGATTTTCCCTTTTAGGAATCAAAAAATTGAATGAACCATGGTAGCTCACCCCTGTAATCCTAGCACTTTGGTAGGCTGACAGGGGAAGGATAGCTTGAGGACATGAGTTTGAGACCAGCCTGGGCTGGTGAGACCCCATCTGTACAAAAAAATAAAAAGAATTATCCATAGGTGGTGATGTACTCCTGTAGTGCCAGATTCTTGGGAACCAAAGTTGGAGAATCTCTCGTGCCCCAAGAGTTCAAGGCTGCAGTGAACAATGATCGTGTGTCTGCATTCCAGCCTGCATGACAGAGTAACCACCCTGTCTGTTGATAAAAAAAAACTGATAAAATAAATTAAGGTAAAATGACTTGTTTTTTGTCTAACATGAAATAATAATGAAAAAGTTTTATAATTTGGGAGTGTTTTATGTATTCTGTTATGTCCTCTGAAAATAAAGTTTTCTTATTTAAAAAAATAGAAATAAAAAAATAAACAGTTATTTCTGTTACAAATTACCCGGTCTTGGGCATTTCTTCATAGCAGGCTGAGAACAGACTAATACTTTTCCATCACCAAATTTCATCATTGCCACTTTCAAAATGTATCTTAAATGCATCTGATTCAGCCTGTCTCCTCCCTCATTCTTGCCACTGTTGAGTCCTCTTACTTGTTTCCTCACATCCACTCTTGACTCCCTTTCAAGCCACTCTTCTCTCCGCACCCAGAGGAATGTTTTTGAAATATCCCTCCAAGCATGTTGTTCTTCTAACTAAATTGTGTCAGTGATGACCCATTGCTCTTGGGGTAGAAATGTAATTTTTTGCTGTGGCCCACAAGGGTTTTCATGGTTTATCCCCTGCCTGCCTCACCAGCATCCTGTCACAGCACTCTCCACTTTGTTCTTTACATCCTGGCCTGCTTTTGGTCTTACACTTCCTGTAGGCTAAACATCTGTCAGCCTCGGGGCTTCTGCACTGAGATTTTCCTCTATGTGAAACACTTTTCTCTCTTTCAATTAGCCATGTCTTTCCTAACCTAAGGCCTCAGCTTAAATGCCATTTTGCCAGGAAAGCCTTCCTTGAGGTCCTAAACTAGGTTTGGTCTTCCTATTATATATTTATATCCCATATTTTATAGTAGTTACATTTATCATTTAAATTATTGTGTAATTATCTGCTTCATGTTTGTCTCCCCATTAGAGCTATTAGGTCATAAGTGCCATGAGGGTGGAAATTATCTCTCTCATTAACTGCCTGGCAAAGCTCCCAATACAAAGTTTATACTTAATAAACATTTGTTGACTGGGTTAAATTATGCATAAAGGCAGGTTATAACAATATGAGTTTAGGAAGATTATTGTGGAAATTAGAAAAAAGAAGCAAATAAAGTGAACATTGTAAGGAAATAATCAGAGATTGCTATTGGATGATCCATGGAAAAAGATAATCTCACTTCACAAACATATAAGGAGTAGGCAAAAATACTTTTTTTGCCCCTTGGAGCAAAACCCTGAAAGCAAGATCCTAACAAGTTAAGGAATGCCTCCCACAGAGATTAGAAAGACAAATACTCCATAAGAAAAAGCTGAGAGATGGAAGCTCAGTTCTGAAGCCTGAGTTTCATCCATGGTCATAAGCATCAATTTTAAGCAGAATTAAAGCCTCATTAAAGAAGCCTAAGAAACATGTTACTTTTTCCAGATATTTGACATTGACCCAAGGTCAGAACTGGTTTCCCACCATATACACTATAACATTCTTGTCTTTCTCTTTCATTTAGGGGCCGTTAAGTTTAATGATGGCCTGAGCTTAGAGGAGAGTTGCCGCCTTATTGAAGCTGTGTCCTTGTGCCAGCTGTGATTCCAGTGTGCTCATGGGAGACCTTCTATGTTGCCATTAGCTGACATAGACCACTTGGAGCAGGAAAAACACGTACATTAATGACTAATAGGAGCAGAAGGGAGCAAAGTTTATCTTCACTTTCTTTTCTGGCTTTTACTATCCAGCTGTAATCTGTCTTAATCCTTTCCAAAATAGGGGAGTTTTGCAAAATCTGCATTGGAAGTTTCACATAAAGCCTCACCTATTTTCATCTTCCAGCTCAAATCCAAATGACACTTAGACTGAACTGTTAGGTCATTCACATAATGGCTTTGTATTTTAAAACTTAACAAATGTACAGACTTACATATCCTGAATACCTGTGGCCTGCTGGCTCTAGGTTTGATAAGATGCAGTTCTCCCTGAAGCTACTGAAAGTTGGTAGAAGCACAGCAAATTCACTGTTGACATGATATAGCCTCAACATCTGGAAGTGGTAATCTGTGACTGTAGCTGGCCATCCCCATGGATCTCAAGTTATGGTTTGAGGATTATCAGGCAGGGACCAAAGCCTGGGGATCTCTACATTATGCTTTTGCCCTGATTACCCAGCAACCTGCAATCTACAATGGGGATAATGCAGTAAAGGCACAGAGTGGCTTTAATTAAGAACTTCTGTTCTTGTTACAGTCTTCAATGAAGGGAACATGGAGAGCATAACAGGAATGCCCCTGTTGCTGCTTTCCAAAAGCTTTTCTTTTGCTAACCTTTCCCTGCGAAGGAATATAAAATCTTTTCTTGCATGAAGATTTCAGGTACTAATGTTTTCTGACTCAACTAGTTGATTTTACTTCATTAAAACCTCTTTGTTTCACAAAAATATAAGGAAAGTTTTGTCCCCATTGCTGAAGAGCTGCCATTGATCCTTAAAAAATCTATAATCTCTATTGAATCTAGAAGTTAGAAATCTAAATGGATTATAACATCATACTTTGAAAATATTTGTGAGCTACCTAGATTTTCATACTGCTAATTGAAATTATTTCTTCCCATAGATTAAACCTAATCTCACTAAATTTAGCAAAATGGTCCAGGCCTGGCTTCTCTTTGAAAAAGCAGAGTGTGATACAAGGCAGAGCTTGCAGCAATCCATGGCTCCCTGTGAGCCATCATGAGAACAGAATCACTGGTCTAAAAGGAACAAAGGGATGTTCACTGTATGCCTCTCAGCAGAGAGCAGCAGCAGCAGGTACCAGTACAGCCCTGACTGAATCAGCCCAGTGTCCCTGAGCAGCTTAGACTGCTGGGTTCTTTGTATCAGTCTTTCTTGATCCGATGATTCCTCTAGTTGAGTAGCCGTGGAATTCAAGCCTAAAGACAGCTCATTCATTTGCATCCGTGGACACAGAAGGTTGCCATATCATGTGTACCTTTTGCTGCTTATTTAATGATAAAATTTAATGACTGATCGGTTGCTTGTTGTTTAAAGGTTGTGATTTTTGTTTTCATACAGTTTTTTTTGAAGCTTCACATTTGCGTGTATCTAATTCAGCTGATGCTCAAGTCGAAGGGATAGTCTGCCTTCCTAGGCTGCCCCCAGGGTGTCTCCATTGCTCCCCGCTTTTCCCTTCAGTCGTCTTCACTTCCCTGTGCTGCTGCTTCACATGCTACATCTCAGGCTTAAAGAGTTTCTCTACTTTCAGTGAAAACATTCCCTGAGGCCTTTCAGCAGGCCTCTAGTTACTTTAGGGATTAAAAACTATTGATTAAAAGAAAGAAAAGGGGTCAGGCACAGTGGCTTATGCCTGTAATGCTAGCACTTTACAGGAGGCTGAGGTGGGAGGATCACCTGAGGTTAGGAGTTCAAGACCAGCCTGGCCAACGTGGCAAAACCCCATATCTACTTAAATAAATAAATAGATTGAGAGATAGAAGGACAAGGATAGAACAGAGAGAATTTAAAGTCCTGTTCCTGGTTTTTGTTTTGTTTTGTTTTGTTTTCTTTGAAAACTTAGAGACTGATGTTCATATTTCAAACTAGTAAGATGGTGAAAATACTGTGAGGGTTTTTTTTTTTGAGACAGAGTCTCTGTTGCCCAGGCTGGAGTGCAGTGGTGTGATCTTAGCTCACTGCAAACTCTGCCCACCCCTCCTCTCTTTTTCCCACCCTGCATTCAAGCAATTCTCCTGCCTCAACCTCCTGAGTAGCTGGGATTACAGGTGCGCACCACAATGCCCAGCTAATTTTTGTATTTTTAATAGAGACGAGGTTTCATTATGTTGATCAGGCTGGTCTCGAACTCCTGACCTCGTAATCTGCCTGCCTCACCCTCCCTAAGAGCTGGGATTACAGGCGTGAGCCACCATGCCTGGCCAAGCTTGTTTTTTAAAAATATGATTCTTTTTTATTTTTTCTTTTTTTACTTCCAAGCAAATATATTCTATGATATAAAATATGATTTTGGATGGGGGTACTTTATAAAGTATCTCTTTATGTGAAAGCACTTGTCATATCCAAACACAGCATATATTCAACCTAACCAAATATGTTTACACTTTTTCTTTCAGGAGACAAGGATTCTTTGGGTCGCTTTCAAATGGGATCTTGGTGTTACTACATTATGCCTATCTATTGCCCTTATAATTTCACTTGGGACCAGGACTTATCATTCTGCAAATGCTTGTTATGCCATTCTCAATCTATTTCCCCCTACCTTTTCACATGATTTGTGGTTAATAGGACTCAATAGAGTAAAATTGCACAGTAGAAAAAAAGAAAGGAAAAAGCAGAAAGCCAGCTGGTAATGTGTATTGCAACTGGGGTGCTATAAAATTAGTAAGATGATGCAATGAGAATTTCCACTTTTGTATTTCCTGACCTGCCTACTCAAAGTGGCTTTTATATCAAGGAATGATTTTCCTCGTTTTTTAATAAAGGAAACCAATTTGTGCTCATGGAAGAAAGGTTCCTTTGCCAGCAGACTTGAAGTGAATCTTACAGGAGCAATGAAAGTATTGCATTTATTAGCGTCTGACCCAGAGGAGGTTCATTGAAAACCTTCGCTTGTTTTCAACGGAATCCTTGTAGATTTACATAATTAGAACCCTGAAGAACAGGCCCTACTGTCTAAAAATGGCTTTTATTCTTCTAAAGACATATAAACGGGTGTTTTATAGATGGGAAGACATGACCTTAGAAAGGAGGGAGTTTTCAGAGGATTTGCCAGGCTGTCAGGGGCTCTGCCTCCAGGCCCAATGTGGCAGCGTGGCCTCAGGGCCTTCACCTCCCTACTCAAGGGCTGCATGGAAGCCAACTGTCCAGGGAGTTTTAAAAATCTTTTAAGGTCAGACCAATTTGAGGGATTTTTAAAAAGTGTCTAAATGCCTCATGATTTCAGAAGGGTTTGCTATGTGTAATCCCAACTACTGTTTTCTTAAGAGTAGCAGAGGATTAAAAAAAGCTCTCCATGAATGGTATAACCAGGCTTCCTGGCTAGCCTGACTCAAGCAATGTAAGAGAGAATTATTCTGTTTTCATAATTCATAAGTGTAGGGGCATGCATCAGCATAAAAACAACCTATTAGAGAAAAATATCTAATCGATTACCTTTATCACCTATTAAGGTTTTATATTGTGCTTTAAGGTTTACAAAATAATTTATCTCATACTTTATCTTAATTTCTTGACAGTCTGTGAGGTGAGGTGGTAGTTTTATCACCATTTTACAAAGTGGGAAATAAAGGTGGAGAACAGTCCTTTTAGGAACCTGGTTATCCCCTTTGTATAATAAAACTTCTGAAGCTCGGAGTTTTTCATTGGTTTACTGAAGGCTTAGTTATGAGAGCCAGAATTCAGCCCCAGGTCTGTGTAACTTCAATTTGCACACTCATTCCCATTATTACCCACATGCTGTCCCTTTTATTTTTAATTTATTATGAATTCATTAATTTATTAACTTGGTGATTCAACTTTATTAGATTCTGGTCGCTAAAGGCTTTAGTAACTTCAGAGTAAAACTTGAGAGATGAGATGTGAAATGCAGCTTTTCTTGAGAGTTCCTTTTTCTGTGACATTCATCAACACTTCATTGAGACTTGAAGCTTCCTCTGGCTGCTCTACCTTCAAGAGGCTTAGCTTTAGTCACTGAGAAAGACAAGGAAACTAAGATAGAGTATAGTAGCTTCCTCGGGTCTTAGGGATCAGAGTCACAGCTAGTTACAGCTAGCCCTTTGTTATTGAAAGAGGGGGAGCTAACAGTCTCACTATCAAAATTAAGACTAGAGATGGCAATAGGAGCTAGTGTCAGAAAAGCTTAAGGCAAAACATAAAGTGAGGCTAGAACGAAGCTGGAGAATGAGCAGGGGCCTTGGGCAGCACTCAGAACCTGGCTGGGGACCTGAAACTACATGAGATAAAAGAATGGAGGGGTCCTAGCAGTCAGAGGTGAGAAGAACAGAGGCAGCTCAGCAGTTCCTGGTGAGCCTTGACAAGCCAGCTCAGCCAAAGTTTTGGGTGGGAGCCAGTCATGGCACAGTTGAGTGAAGGAAGAGCAGTTTCAGGCACCCAGAACCAGACTCCCATAACTCGTTTTCCACCTTAAGAGCCACCCATTCCATCCAAACCATTTGCAAAATTCTGCTAACAGAGAACCTCCCAGTATACTGGCCACTCCTCATCATGCTTGTCTTTACTCTCTAAGATGAAGCTGCCTTTCAATGACGAGATGGCAAACAGGTGGGTCCAGAAGAGGGGAAAAGAAGGAAGTCTGTAAAATCAAAATGCTGAAGAATCTGCACCAAATAAAGCCTTCTTTCCTTCTTCCTTTCATCCCTCCATTCATCATTCAGTAAATCTTTAGTGAGTCCCTTCTAAATGTATTGTATCAGAACTTGTGGGGGATATAAAGGAAAACAATTTTTCACAAGGCTTAGGATGTTTCCAACTCTTGGATCATTTTCACCCCAGGCCCATTAGTTACAGAGCACTCAGGCTTACCTAGAAGCATTGGATATGGTCCAGGCAGGATCCAACCGTGTGGGAGTCACAGTGTGCTGCATGTGGGACTCTATCGAGCCAGCCTCACTCGAGCAGCATCCTGAGAAAGTGGGATTTGTCCAGCCTTGCCTAGCTCTGCCCTTACAAGTTGCTCTTATCTACTTCCAAAGTAAGGAATGTCCCATGATGGGCCAGGCAAACAATCCAAAACAAGTGGCTTGGAGTTAGCTACTGCAATTAGCAGTTTCTCATTACTCAACAATTCATTACCTCTATTTCATATTAGTTAATGCAGAATTTTATTTATGTATTTATTATATTTTCAAACCCAGTGTTTTAGGAAGAATATTACATATAAATGATGGCTTTTAGGAATCTTATCAAGTTTTTGTTTCTTCAGCACTAAGTGGCTTCTTTTCTAGGCAGGTCTTAATTCTAAATGTAACATGCCAGAAAAATATTGAAAGAATCCATCTCTTAAGCATAGTATTTAATATACATATCAGGCAGTCACCATCTCAAGAGTGATTAGGCTCAAGTGCTGCCCTCCATTATGTGAGGAGTGCCAAGAGACTGGAAGCTTAGACTTTAGGTCTTTATTAGGTTGGTGCAAAAATAATTGCAGTTTTTGCCATTAATAATAATAATTGCCTTGCCATTATGCAGTATCTTGCAAGAGCTCTTTGGCAAATGAAAGAATAATTCAAAGCAAAGTAGGCCAGATATAAAACACTTCCAAACCACATTTCAAAATTGCTCTTTCATACCAACTAGGTGCCTATCTAAGGGAGTTTTTGCAAGGACAGGTGGAGAGTATGATGCCTTTGAAATAATCACATCGCCATCTGGTAGTATCTTTATGGCAGAGCAGTTCTGATGTAGTTGTAATGTTACAGATCATGTATTTCCATGATAGAACTGTGACTGGCAGCCTTCATTAGCCTAAAGACTGAGGCAACAGATTGATTTGGGAAATAGTTTTGAAGCACATCCATGAAATGCATGATTCTATCGGTACCAGCATGGATTTCTTCAAGGTATCATTTTACACTTCAGTTTTTCCTGGTAGAGTATTTTTCAGAGACGTCTCTTCTGAGGCTAAATTAGAAATTTCTGTTCCTTATTCAAGTTCCAAGAATTGTGCCTCTCCTGCCTTCTACCCAAACTGGAAGATAGAAACCGTGGGAAAAAGTGTCCTTACAAACTGCACTGTTATCTAACTTGGTTTCTTTAGCATATTCAGGAAGACTTTCATATTCATGAAATCTTAGTTCTATTCATTATCTCCAAGCTATGACAGTTGTTTTTGTTTTTTTGCTGAGTTTCTGGGTTCTGCCAGCAAGGCAGGGGTTGGAGGTGGACACCCCAATACCAAAGCTGGTAGACAGTGAGTTGACATAGAACTTCTGCTTCCTTTTGTTTAATTCAGGTTCTTTTTCTGATACTTGCCCCTCCTCAAATAGGGAAAGGGAGAGAAGGGAAATAGGAAGATGAGCCTCTATAGGGTTTACTTAATTGGAATCATAAGGATTCTAAAACCATGCATTACTGCAGTTCTGCTCTAGCTGCTGTAAGAATTGACCAGAAAGACAGAGCTTCTACTTATTAAACTTCATCTTTGTCATGCCTGGGAAGGATGTTGGTGCTAATTTTAGACACAGAGACTAAGATGCACAAAGGACAAGTATCATAAAGCATTTTTGGAGCCAGAAACAGATTTAAGTTTCTTGCCTCTCTGCTGCTCTTACTCCAAACCACACAACTGTACCCAAGTGGATTGCTATTAGAATTGGTGCCTTAAGAGGAGACAACTGCTAGTAATTGGTGGCTATAAGCCACTTCACTGAGAAAGCGTGGGCTCTTAGATGCTTTAAGAATCATTGACAAGACTGAGCCTGAGTGAGTCAGGCTCTTCTGAGTCACATAGCTTTTAGGTCAGTGTAAAATACTTTCTGAGGTCTTATTTTTTCTGTCTCTGGAAGACCTAAGGCAAAGATTTCTCTCAAAGAGATATCAAAGAATAGAGGCCTTTCCCTCAGAACCTAATCAAAATGTGGTTATCAGATCACCTGTTCAAAGCCCACAAGGTACTTACTTGTTAAACATGCAGATTCTTAGTGCTCCCTCCCCACCCATACAGACACTGCACAAAAGGCCCAGCTTCAGACCACTAGTTCCTAAACATGGCAGAAATCTGGATCACCTGGGAGGCTTTTAGGTTAAAAACTGTCAATTACTAAAGTAGTACACATTAAGAGTGGAAACAATATGTAAACATAAACATACCAGCAAAATTAGAGGCTGTCCCTCTGCTTGTCGTGCTTGGTATTATACTTCTATACTGTTTTGCTATGCATGTACATATAATTTTGTTTTGTTTTTATAAGACAGAGTCTTACCCACTCTTTTGCCCAGGCTAAAGTGCAGTGGCCCAGTCTCTGCTCACTGCACCCTCTACCTGCTGAGTTCAGCCTCCTGAGTAGCTGGGATTACAGGTACCCACCACTGCACCTGGATAATTTTTCTATTTTTAGTGGAGATAGGGTTTTGCTATTTTGACCAGGCTGGTGTTGAACTCCTCACCTCAAGTGATCTGCCCTCCATGGCCTCCCAAAGTGCTGGGATTACCAGTGTGAGCCACCGTGCCCAGCCAATGTTGTTTTATTTTAATGAAGTGAGGCCATATTATGCATATTGCTCTGCAGCTTGTGTTTCCCCAGCTTTTTAAAACTAACAGAATACAAAAATGCACTTCCTTGCAAATCTATCCTATTCTTTTAACACCAGAATCACAACTGAAATGCCTACAGGGGTTAGGCAGATAACAGAAGTTAGCCAACCACAAACCAACCATTGTTATTTGGAAATGTTGGCCCAGAGTTGCCAAATTTGAGTTTTCAAGAAAAGGAAGAAATCCAAATTTTTGAAATGTGCCATCTCCAGATTTTTAAATATTGGTAACAAATTCACATTTAAATGCAGCGTGAACCAGCTTAAATGTCTTCAGTCCAGACACTGCCCCTCCAGCCATCCTTTTGAAACTTCTATTGCCATGTATACTTAATGGTGTATTTTCCATGGTGTAACTGTCAGTATTTATTCAACCTTTCTCCTGTTGCTGGACACTTAGGCTATGACATTCCAACTACTGCACTGAACATTCTGTATAAATCTTTGTGCTTGTACAAATAATTCTAGAAATACAGATTCCAAATTGCCCTCTAAAAGGTTGTACCAACTTATAGTCCTATAAATACTGCATGAGACTGTCCTTTTCTGGGAATCTTTAAACAGATTTCCAGGTGGTAACCCAGAGATCAGTTGCAGTACATCTGTGATGAAACCCAAGTTTGTATGTGTGAGTGAGCAGAATCACTCTCAGGTGATTCTGATGATCAGAGAGGTTTTGGAAATACTGTTTTAGCCTATTAACAAGCTGTTTGGGGCTATTACTAGGGAAATGTAAAGGAAACTATACTTTCATTTGTACTTCTATGTTTTATTTTTTTAGAGACAGGGTCTTGCTCTGTTATCCAGGTTGGAGTACAGTGGTACAATATAGCTCACTGTAGCCTTGAACTCATGGGTTCAAGTGATCCTCCCACCTCAGCCTACAGAGTAGCAAGGCCACAGGCATGTGCCATCATGTCTGGCTAGTTTTTTAAAAATATTTTTTGTAGAGACGGGATCTTGCTATGATGCCAGGCTGGTCTCAAACTCCAGGCCTCAAACAATCCTCCCCTCTCAGCCTCCCAAAGTGCCTGGATTACAAATGAGAGTCACTGCATCTGACCAGTATTTTCATGTTTTATTTTTCCCTCTTAACTACAGCCCTCTATACAAACACAGGAAAGGCTGTGCTGCTGCTGTTTCAAGCAGTTCTGTCAGTGTGGGACAATAAATAAACCAACTATGGAACCTTCAAGGAGCTTTTATTGGCACAGCCTAGGAAGAAGTGTCATAGCCATATCTGAGCAAAAATCTGTATCCCAGCAAGGTATTCAGTGTTATGTTTAACACACTACTGAACCAGAAAGTTTAAGTTCCTGACACAGATGCAACCAGGTCACTAAGAGTCTCCAAAATCAGTAGGTTAAGCCCTGCTGCTCTGTTAAGATATGAAAGGCAAGACACAGTCCTGGATGTTTGCCCCTGTTAAAGCATGACTAAAAAGGCAGGCAGCAGTATCAAGGATTTTTTTAGGTTGCCTCCTGTGCACTCCCACATTGCAAGGATGCATTTCAGCAGCAGCACATAAGTCTCCTTTTCCTTCTGTATCTGCCTAAGCAATCTCTGCTTAGGACAAGCGTAGTTGGTCATAGGACACGTTCATCATGATGGTAGAGTTCACTCATGAGGCAGTAGATGTAGGAAGGTGCATTCCCACCAATGTTGTAAATAAAGAGGGTAATGAGCTCTGGGGGGACATAGTCAAACACTGGGCAATGCACCTTACCCAGAATGTCCCCTGAAAGGCAAGTGTATGTGCTAAATGTAAAACTGAGGTTCCCTCTCTCATAATTAAGTAGCATGTAGATTCCAGGATGGAGAATGCAGACATATTAGCTACCCAAGGATGGGAAACTATGGAAAAATGTAAACCAGTAGAGATGATTTCAGATCATGACACTCCCTGCTTACACCTCCCCCATGCCTCTGCACAGCCCTTAGAATAAAATTCAAACTCAGGATTGAAGTTTAAGATCTGGGCCCTCCCTACCACACCACACAAATTATAATTTGGACCACTCTCCCCCTTACTCAATACTGTCTAGCCATGTATGGCCATCTTTTTCTAACAGGCGAAGCCCCTGCACCAGCGCATGGAAA